ATTAGAAAGATCTCACTTAGAAAGTGGCACCAACTACCCACTGTATCTGACTGTAGGCAGCTCCAAAAGAAATCTCCACCGTCCAGATTGAAGACGCTCGTGTTACGAACACGCTGTCAAAATTTCACCTCGATCGGACCACGGATCGACTTCCGATCGTTCAAAAAACTTCACTGTACGGAATTGAATTTCTTTTCCTTTTTCTTTTCTGTTTTCTCTCCTCGATCTGCGTGCATAGACTCTCTCTCTCTCCTCAATTGTGGTTGACCGGCTAGGTTAGTAATATATATATAGATATAAAAAAACCGTAAAACATTAATGGCCCATGTGTGCCTAAAGTTGGGCTTTTCACACAATGTGAAAAATACCCAACAGTTATAGGTTAGAACTCATCCCGGTAAGGTCCTGCCTCATCGTAGGAGCGGGACGGTCGAGTGGCCGAGAACCAAGATGGTTGGAAAAGTGAGTTGAAGCTCAGTCGAAGAAGAAAGAACCTCGTCTAAGGTCCGACGAAGCCACAAAGGGCGCGAAAAGTGGATTGGGGCTAGAGTTTCCCAGTAAGGTTGGTCATGGTCGAGCTTAGATCATGGTGCCGCACGGTTGAAAAATGTACAACCATGACACAATGCACGGGGTAAAACACTAGTCTTTTAAAGTTCATTTTTCTGACGGCTTGTAATTTCTCTGGCGAATTCTGAGTGTCCTTTATAATTTCTTTGTTTTATGGTCATTTTCGCATTGAATCTCATTATCGATAATAATTCGAGAACCGTGAACGATGAACAAATCCCAAGTTATAAATAAAATAAAAAAATTGGAATGACATGAATGCATTTTCAATGTTGGTTTCTATATTAAAAAAAAAAAAGTTGATAATACATATCTAACTTTCGATGCAACTCATTTCATCTCGTACACTCACTTTCTTGACATCTTTATTTCAAGCAATTGTATGACAAAATATAAGATGTTCAAGTAAAAAAGGTAGAGCCATGAGTCGAGTTATTGTCATAGGACCAAATACTAAAAACAAACTTCATAACAATACGGTAATTATTTAAAATCAACTCTAAATTATTATTAGTAATTTAAAGAAAAAATTTTATAACAAAATGGTTATTCATTAATAATGAAATAAAATCAAGTTTTTATTTGGATTATTTATAACTGTTGAGTATATATTTATCTTTTTATTTGGATTCTACTTTTTCCTATTGTCAATTTTAATTCTTTTAAATAATAATTTGATCATTTTTTTAATATTTAAAAATCAAGTTTATTTTTGTTAATAATTTCTCAAAACTCTAGCCAGGTTTTTTAATTTGAAGTCTCTATGATAATCATAGTTTAACTACTTAAGGAAACTTCTTTAAAAGCTTTAAATTCAAATTTTTAAATTTAGTTATGAATGAGTTTTTGTATAATAAAAATTAAGATTTTTTTTTTTCAAATTTAGTTGTGAAAAAGTTTTAGTAGAATAAAAATTAAGATTATTATTTTACGAACATATTTTATAAAAATTCCAAAAACAATAGGATGATCATACAATTTGTTAGAAAAATTTTAATTGATGTTTAAAATATTTGAATAATACTTAACTTTAATTGTTAACTGTGTAATATATATTTAAACTTTTAATTTTGTGTTTAATAGTCCTTGAAATGTGCCACCTCTATTTTTTTTTTCAATTCACAAACCTATTCAACACAAAATTCAATTTTATATTTATTATGTTGATTAATTTTAAAAATTTCAAATAAGTCAACGACCTAATAGACTTAAAAATGAAAGTTCAAGGGTCTAACATTTAGATGTTTTAAAAATTCAATGAACTGTTAAATATAAAATTGAAAATATAGTCGTCTATAAGATATTTTTAAAATTTAAAATTTTATTGGGCACAATTCTAAGATTCAAAATACTAAAGTAGTGGAAGATATTTTTTAATAAAATTTATAAAAATGAATGTATTTTATAAAAGTAATTATGAACATATCTGAAAATCGTGATATTTTATGGTATAAACTACAAAATTTGACTTTTTAAATAAGGCAAGCTGTGATCTAACCTCCACAATTAGTGAAATCAAAAGTTTTTCTTTTTTATCAAATTGAAAATTTATTAATTCAAATAATATAGGGAATTGATATTTTTGCTATTAACATGAATAGACTTTAGTTTTTACTCAATAGACTACAAAGTTTTTTTTTTTCTTAATTAAAACCTAAAAATCCCTATTTTGTTTTTTACACATTTTATGATTTCTCAAAATATGATTAAAAAAGAAAAACCCTTCCCGTTTGAGAAAGGATTTGATTGGAAAAAAAAAAAGCTTTATCATGGTCCAATCTTAACATATTCTCTAATAAAAGCCATTAATTCGACCAAATTGAAAACAAAATATACCTACCATAATATATACTTAGGTACATATTTCTGTTTACATGATTGGTTCCTCTTATTTTATTTTTCATTTTTTTCAAATTTATAAACTCTACTTTCACCTTTATATTTATTTTCGTGTTCCTTTCTTTAGTTATCCTTTTTTACAGCAAAGTGACATTCTTTAACGCCCACAGCAAAGTGTCATTCTTTAACGCGTCGTTTAAACTTTCAGCGACATCTTCGTTCCGTCATTGAAAATAAATTTCAAACTTTGACTCGTAAGATAAGGTAAGTTGTGTGATCTAACTTCGGCCATTAAGGAAATCAAAAGTCTTTCTTTTTTATCAATTTTAAAAGTGAAGATTTATTAATTCAAATAATATAGGGAATTAATATTTTTACTATTAACATAAATAGTCTTTGGTTTTTACTATTTCTAAAAAAAAAAAAAACTACAAAGGTCTTTTTTTTAATTAAAACCCAAAATTTCATGTTAGGTTTTTAACACATTTTATGATTTCTTAAAAGCGAGTATAGCTCAACTTTAATTGGTATATACTCCAACTAAGAGGTTGTGAGTTCGATACTCTACCTCTACCTAACTCACCCCACTCTCGTCATCTATCATAGGGTATTTTGGGTAAAAAAAAATGTAACAAAATCTGAAAACAAACCGGTTTTAAAAATTAGATTAAACATTATTCTTAAAAAAAAAAATTAAACAGAGAGTTCTTTTTTTTTTCAAAAAAGATTTAGTTTGATGTTTGATTAATTAAAATTATTTTTAAAAATCTTGAATTTGAAATGAAATTTGAAATTTTTAGCATAGAGGCTTTTTTGGAGATATGAAGTGTGAAATTTTATGTCAGATTTGATCCAAATCTTGAATTTTAAACAAAGATAACGGTAATCTCTCAAAAAAAAAAATCAATAAATAAAGATAACGGTAAGATTTTGAAACAAAATTAAAATTCTAAATTCATTGTTTCTGGTTA